TGGCCCATTGGCTGGGCCTGGCCCACTGGGTGGGTGTGGCTGCGGTTGTAACGGCAGACTGGATGGGACTAAAAGTTCAATCAATCAATTTCAACTTTGCAAGATCTTTCTTTTTCTCGCAAGAAGTTGAAATTGACTGATTGAACCTTTTTTTTTTTTTTTTTGCACACGGCAGCGGAGGCCTAAAGTGAAAAGGTTTTATAAAACCCAGCTGAAGGCCTAGGACTGGGGCGACGGCACGCGTGCCCACAGAGAGGGCTCTGAGTGCCGCCTCTGGCACCTGTGCCATAGGTTCACCACCACTGACTTAGTTCTTTGCTCAAGAATGTTAGTTATGGGGGCTCTGGTATATGTGTATGTACATTTGTGGGGCTCTTTTCTTGGTTTGGGGGAGGTTTCTGGGTTATGTTTTTATTCTGTTTGTCACCCAAAGTTGGGCAATCATAAAAATTAGACAGATTATCCAAATTCTCTCTCTATATGCCAGCTAATTATCCATATCCTATTAAGACCAACAATCAACATAATAAAATGCCACATTACGTTTTGGTCTTGGAATGTTTTCTTCTTTAAGCGGAGATGATGATTTTTCATGTAAAGAAGATACGTTTATATTTTTTTCAACACTGCAACTAATGTCCTGAACCTCACTGTCTCTTCTTTTTTTAAAAACTGGTTCATAGTCCTCGGATTTCATTTTTGCAGTACAATAATGAATGGAATAGTTTTGCCAGAGATTAGGAGAAAGCTGCAAGTTCCAGAACAGGTGATGTCTCCAACTCTCTCCAAAATTCTGAAGGTTCAAGTGTGGGTAGCAAGCCCAAGAATAGTACTCCACACAATTCAGGCACTGAAAAGCTTGAACATTTTGGAGGTGTCTTTGAAGATGATTCCGGTAAAAGCCCCAATCTCTAACCAGCCTGTGAACATGGCGGGACAGCATGGGATATCTAGAAAAAAAGCAACAGTAGTTAGATTTCTGTAACAGAAAACGTACGATGGAAAGGAGGAAGAATAAATGGAGAAGGAACAGAGGGAAAAGGTTACAATTACCTAAAAATTTAGGCTGGCAACATTTGCACAATGTTTAAGATAGCTGTCCAGAAAAGTGTATAATCATCACTTACTGGCATCAATATTTCAGTAACAGAAAGTGTAGGTAAAAGCCAGTTGCTGGGCTCATTCTGCTTTCACATACTTTTTGTGCTACAGGTACTCCTTGACTTACAACCATTTGTTGTTTGTTTAGGGATTGTTCAAAATTACAACAGCATTGAAAAAAGTGTCTTAGTACCAGTTCTCGCATTTACAACCATTGCAGGATCTTTACAGTCATGTAATCAAAATTCAGCCATTTGGCAACTGGCACATATTTATGATGGTTGAGCATTTCAGGGCCACGTGATTCGCCATTTGCAACCTTTCCAGTCAGCTTTCTACAAGCAAAGTTAATAGAGGAAGCTGGATTTGCTTAACAACACAATTCACTTAACACCTGCAGTGATTAATTTAATAACCATGGCAAAAAAGGTGATAAAATCAGGTACAGCTAACTTAACAACCTCCATGATTAGCAACCAAAATTCCCAATTGTGGTTGTAAGTCAAGGAATACCTGTATCCTGTTTTCTAGTTGGCTGCAGAAGATACAGAATGCTGGACATTTTGGTCTCCTGCTTTTCATTCACAGTTTGAGTATCTTTTATATGCAAGTTCCTTTTCAGGACTAAAGTGCAGTAGATATGATGGTAACTGTATGAATACAGTTTTGCATATCTTTTTATCTTAATACCATTTCTTTTTTGGCCCTGACGTGATGGGCAACTACAAGAGTGTGAATAAACAGTTAGTAAGGTCTGATTAAAATTTCTGAAGCTATTTTAAGAATAATATATGCAGCTACTCCTTGACCCCTTTTGGCAACTATTTAATCCATAACTGAATGGATGTATTATTATTTAATAAAAATATTTTAAAAAAGAAATTACATGAACATGAGAACCTGTGAATTGTAATGGTTAAGGAGTTAGATTTCGAGCAGGCAGGCCCAGCTTCTAGTCCATTCTCAGTAACTGGGCAGCCTTGGGCCAGTTGTTCTTTCTCAGCACAACCGATTCACAGAGCTGTTATTTTAAGGACAAATAAGAGGATGGAGTACTATGTATATTGCCTCAAACTCCTGTACAAAAAGTAGGATATAAATCTAATAAACAGGTTCTATCCAGATCTTCTCTTGCAACGGAACACAAGTTACAAATAAAAATCAGCAGCAAAACCTTTTTAGTCCTGTTGAACCTTTGCAGACGTCGGAATAGTGATTAAATACATTATAGTCTTTAAAAGTTAATTGCATATTTCTCAGGATTCCTGCATGAGGCAGTCATTCTGAAATTATATTTGTGTTCAGTTTGAAGGGTCTATAAGCAAAGCTTTTGGAAAAAAATTATCCAATGTTATGTGATTCTAACTGTGCCTGAGTGTTGTATAACCAACTCATTTAAAAAAAAAACTTGGGGTATCCACAAAGTCTTTTATGGCATAAAAATAATATCTTTCTTAAATTCCTTTTAAGATGAAGGGTACACTAAGTATTTCCATATAAATATGATCCAAGCCACAACCTTCATCAAAAGTGTTTTGCTGATTTTTATTTGTACTCAGTGTCTGATGCAACTCGCTGCAGTGTCATCAGCCAACTTTGATGGATCCCAGTTATCTTGATACTATTTTCCATTGTGGCAGTTACCAATAAAATTCTCAGTGACATCCTCAAATACTTTCCAAGTTATTTTCACTGGCCCCATTATCAGATCTTTGAACTGCTTATCATTGATGATGTATCTGATCTGCGAACCAACAAAAATACTTTTCTTAAACTTGGCATCAGTTATTTTTGGAAACATCTGACTCAAACAACAAAAACGTTCACCTTCCTTGTTCATCATTTTCACAGTTGCCTCTGAAAATTCAGGAGGATCTTCAGCCAATACAACATACGTGCACACTTTAAACCCAAGAATACACTAAGGCAGAAGCTTGTCTACCCCAAGGGTAAATCACCCAGACACAAACAGAGCAACGTGGTATATGCAGTACAATGCAGTGAGCCATGGGCAGATTTGTACATTGGGGAAACAAAACAACCACTTCATAAACATATGGCACAACATAGGAGAACAAACTCATCTGGACAAGATTCAGCAGTCCATCTGCATTTAAAAGACAAAGGCCATTCTTTCAAAGACAGCAAAGTCCATATTTTGGACAGAGAGGGCAGTTGATTTGAAAGAGGAGTCAAAGAGGCCATCTATGTCAAAATTGAACAGCCTTCTCTCAGTAGAGGGGGAGGGATATGACATCATCTATCTCCAATCTACAACATAGTCCTTTCAGCAAGAAGACTCCACACCCATTTGCACTATTCAGGTCACCCTGAGGACAAAGACAAACCTCCAAGTGGCCTCAACGACTCTCTAAAAGAATGCAAATGACCAGCTGTCTGCAAGGAATATAAATCCTTCCATTCCCCACCACCCAATCAAGAAGCTTCTTGATTGAGAAGTGAAACATCTTCAAAGAAAAACAAGAAAGTCCAGTTGCCTCTTGAAAAAGCACCTTTGAGATGCCCTAATCTAAGCTTCACAAACACGACGGCTGGATTTATACAATGTATTAGCCTTCAGCCAAATCACCCTGTTAAGTCTATGGCTTAATGTGATGAATTAACCCAGCCTGTATACAGTATAGGGAAGTGCTGCTTGGTTAATGATTGTCTGTTTCACTATCAATAAAGGAGAATAATTGTAGATCAGAGTCGAAATGAAGGGGGGTCCTTGGTGCTCTCTTAAGCTTGCTTGTTTTCTTGCAGACGTTTCATTACCCAAACTAGGCAATATTACTAGCACTGATGATGTTACCTACCGTAGTTTGGGTAATGAAACGTCTGCAGGAAAACAAGCAAGCTTAGAGAGCAGCAAGGACTCCTTGTTTCACAATCCTCCACATCCAATCCCTAGCACAGTGTTTCTCAACCTTGACCATTTTAAGGCAGGTGGACTTCAACTCCCAGAATTCCACAGCCAGCAATGCTGGCTGTGGAATTCTGGGAGTTGAAGTCCACCTGCCTTAAAATGGTCAAGGTTGAGAAACACTGCGGATCAGAAGGGGCAGCTCTTATCCCTCTGGCCAGCGTTCTCCGGTGATGCTCGACTACAGTGACCATATTAAGGGAGCGATGTGAGTTGTAGTCCAACATATCCGACGGCACTAAGGATTTGGAGAGTCTGACCTAGGCCACGAGGGCCCATATCGTTACCTCCGAGTGGGCTACTTCCGCTCTCCCGGTCACTCTGCTCTCCACCGTCACTCGCCCGAGGGGTCATCTCAGGCCGCCGCCGCCGCCGCCGCCGCCGCCTCTTTCATTTACCGCGCGCGATCAGGACTCAGCCCCGCGCGTGCTCCAAACCGGCGACTCCTCCCACAGAACAAAGCCCATCTGTTTCTCCGACCCTCTTCCCCCCCCCGCTTTCGCTTCGGCGCATGGGACTTGTAGTTTTATTTTTTTCCCCACGGGCGTTACTTTCGATCGCGTTTCTATAGACTCACGAAAAACAAGCTGCTGAGAAACTCTTGTTTTTTTTAAACCCCCTCCTAATTTTCTCCCTTTAGGAAATTCAGCTGTGCTGAAGATCAAAGAGGTGGCTAGTTTTTAACTCTGAGTTCCTTTTTAGATGATTATTTCGTGGCGGGCGGATTGATTCATCAAAGGGTTTGCTGTGGAGCCCGGCAGTTCGGACTGGAAACTGCTCTTCATTATTTTATCTCTTTCGTATTTCCGAAATCCAAAATATCGAAGTGATTGGAAGGGGGGGAAACCGGAAGCGGAAAGCGCGCTCGAACACTCTCTTGGTTAACGGAAACGTCGCCGCCGCCATCTCAGCGTTGGGCGGAAGCAGGAATGATGCACCGGGAGGTTTCCGGGGGAGAGTGAGCGAAGGCGCGATGCCGCTGGTGTTGCTGTGCGGGCTGCCGGGCAGCGGCAAGAGCCGGCGCGCCGAAGAGCTGCGCGCCGCTTTGGTCTCTGAAGGCGAACGGCGCGCCTTCGTTGTGTCCGAAGCGGACGTGGCCGGAGGCCGGGCTGCCCTGCGGGCGGCGGCTGAACGGCTGCTGAACCAGCGGGACGTGGTAATCGTCGACGCGGGCAGCGAGCTGAAGAGCTTCCGCTACGAGCTCTACTGCCTCAGCAAGCACGCGGGGACCCCGCACTGCCTGGTGCTCTGCCCGGGAGGTGACGCGCGTCCCGACCGCCCTCCTTTGGAGCCGCCGGACTCGCAGAACCGCTGGGACTGGCCTCTCTTTCTGGCGCCCGAGGACCCCGCCGAGCCCCTGCCGCTGCCCGAGATCCGCGCTGCCCTCTTGGAGCGGCGCCCGCCTCCTCCCAACCAGTCCACGCGCTCACAGCCGCTCCAAGCCGCCGGCTTCCTTCACCAGCTCGACCGCCTGACTCAAGAGGTGCTGGCCGCCGTCATGGCTGCTCAGAGGGACGGCGCCCAGGCCGGACAGTTCATTCCTGTGGCGGTGGATGGGCTAGCAGGAGGCGGCCGAGAGCCTCTGGGCTTGCTGCTGAACAGGCCGGTCAGCCTGGCTGAACTGAGCCGCCTGCGAAGGCAGTTCCTCAGTTATGCCAAGATGCACCCGGGAGAAGGCGAAGAAAATCTGCCCCAGCTGGGCAGCATGTTTCTTCAGTACCTGAGTCAAAATCTGCACTGAACACAGCAGCTTCCTCTGAGTAGCCGGGGCCGGCCCTGCTCTGTATGTGGAGGATGGACTTAGTGAGGACGCTTCGTTTAGACCAGTGTTTCTCAACCTTGACAATTTTAAGGCATGTGGACTTCAACTCCCAGAATCCCACAGCCAGCATTGCTGGCTGTGGAATTCTGGGAGTTGAAGTCCACATGCCTTAAAATTGTCAAGGTTGAGAAACACTGGTTTAGACTGCTTTTTGCTATTTAATTATGGACAGGGATTTATCCATTTTGTCAATTGCCAAATGTATAGACTGCTTTCAAAACTTGGATGAAGAGTGATGAAGGCATTTTTAAAATAATGTTTTTCAGTATACATCTATTTATATTTGAATTGCAACTGTCATTTTCATACTGTGCCTTGTTTAAGGGAGTACATTGGTAGATTTCAACATTCGTAGTGATTCCCATGAGGTGAATTTGGCAGAAATACAGTGACTGAAGTTCGTAAATTCAGCTTTCTAATCAAAGATGCAGTGCAATCCTGAAAAGTGTTTTATCAAATACATTTGGATTAATATGACTAAACAATAGTTTACATAAAGAACATTGCATTGTGCTTATAATATTTCTTGTTTGTCTCTCTCTCTCTGGGATTAATTTATTAAAGAGAGAAAGCTGCAAGCCTGGACTGATCTTGACTGAGAAGGCACACACAAAGAAAGCTGCATTTTGCTGGATAAGGCCAGTGTTCAAGTCTGTCAAGATCTTTCTGGATCTTATTTCTAAAGGGTTGGCTATTCCCCACCCCCATCTTAGTCATTTACTGTTGACTAGATTATGTTTTGATGATTTGATAGATTATAAAAAGAGTTTTTGTGTTTCTTTGTATTTTTTTCTTTTCTATTTTTCTTAATCTTTTAGCTTTCTTTCTGATTTTTCTTTATTTTATATTGATTTGAATGTTTAACTTCCCTTTTAAAACTTTACAAAATTATATATGTATGTGTGTATATAGATACATAGCTTAAATATCAACACTAACTTGGGATTTCCATTACGTTTTATAACCTTATTCAAGCTATTCTCTTATATGTGCAGAGCTGGCTGTGACACAGTAAAAACAGAACTATTTTAATGTTCACTTCTCAGTAAAGAGAATTGGTCCTTTGGTACATGGCAGTTAAATGAGTGTTAAATATCTAACAAATTCATATATTACAAACCTTATTGTCATGATGCCATTCCTCATCTAGTTTTAATTGAATGAAGCAGAAGTCACTGAACAATCAAAATGGATCCTATCCTTTTAAAACCAAATACAGTAAGAATGTTCATGAAAATCTATGCAGTAGTGTAGTGAAGTCATGGAAATACTGGTTCTATACCTAGAACTTAGAAGCATTGTGGTGATCTCACAATCTAAAATGAGGAGAATCTCAAGTCGTGCAGTTGAATGTAGTAGACAAATTCCAAGTGTTCTGCACAAGCAGCCTTCAGAGAAAATCAGATGTATATTCTGTATTAAATTTGGCAGCAATACAACCACATTGTGACAACATTCTCAAATGAAAAATCATGCCCATTTTCTTACCAAAATTATATATCTGCAGTAGTTAATTTTTTTTTAAAAAAAATCTGTTTATAAGTTGTACAGTAAAGCCTGCCCAAATTTATAGATTTCAATTGTGCAGATTGTAGCATGACAACACATTAATGAAGAAAGATTTTGATTTATATTTGGCCCTAGATGTATAATAAACAAGACTCAGAAACTAATGTGGTAACAAATTTGTTAGCTTTTACAATCCTACACTTCTATATTTATTTTGCCATCATAATGTAACAATTTTCAGAGATCCAGCTGCCAGTAAATTACAGAGGCTATCTTAATTGTATTAATTTTATAATGACTTATATGCACGTTGTGTATGATTCTGCAGCATGTTATAGAAAATCCACACATGAAACACCTTGATTATTGATCTTCATTGTGAAGATCAATTGATAACAAAGCAAAACACTGAGCCAGGATCTAGGACCTTACAAATTTTATATTAATTTTGTGACTTAAGTTTTATTATTGTTTTTTGCTGCTATTATTATTAATATCAGTAGTATAAAGATTTTAATCTGCTCCCAAAATATACCTTGAAAATGGAATGTGAGACTAAAGGCACCATTTCTCCCACTACATATGCTATATACTGTGCTGGGCGGTGGCGGGAAGGGCGCTGAGGTGGGGGCAGCCAGGCCGACAGACCTCTGGCTGGAGCAGGGGGCCTATGCCCCGGGGATCCGGAGAGGCCGCCTCCTGGCCAGGCTCACCTAAGAGGTGAGTGGCGAGGCGGCAGCCCAGGACCAAAGTGGCAGGTGGAGCACCGGAGGCTTGGGGAGGGAGGGTGGTGAAGCGGGCGGGCGTCTTGCCGTCAGCATCCATGCTGGCTGCCCCTTCCCCGTGGAGCTGGAGAGCTTGCCCTCGCTTCCCCCAGGAATTGCATTTCTTTGCTTACCTGACTCCCAGCCCCACGCCATTTCTCCTTCATGATCTGCCGCCGTCACGTTCAGGTAAACAAAAGAAGTTTGTGTGTATGGGGGGAAAAGATCAATTCCAACTTCGCGAGATCTTTTTTTTTTTTCGCAAGAAGTTGGAATTGATTGACCTTTTTTCCCCCCTCACAAACTTTTGTTTTCCTGCACGCAGCGGCGGCGGATTGTGAAGGAGAAATGGCACGGGGCTGAGTCAGATAAGCAAAGAAATGCAATTCCTGGGGAAGTGAGAGCAAGCTCTCCAGCTTCCCGGGGAAGGGGCAGCCGGCATGGGTGGATGGCAGGATGCCTGCCCGCTTCACCACCCTCCCTCCCTGAGCCTCTGGCGCTCCACCTGCTGCTTTGGTCCTGGGCTGCCGCCTCCCCACTCACCTCTCAGGTGAGCCTGGCTAGGCAGGTGGTCTCCTTGGCACCCTTCCCGTTGCTGTCCAGCACAGCTGCCCTGGGCTTCAGGGGCTGGCCTGGCATGGGAAGGGCACGCGCCTCACCCACTCGTCCACTTCACCACCCTCCCTCCCTGAGCCTCTGGCGCTCCACCTGCCACTTTGGTTAGCCTGGCCGCTGCCCAGCATGGCCACCCCGGGGCTAGCCTGATACAGGAAGGGCACATGTCCCACCCGCACCGGTACTGTACCTGGTCCACCACCATGCTCTCCGGCGCGTTGCTTCTCCACCCCATGCACAGGCCCCGCCCCACCCCCGTGCTCGTGGCCTACTAGTACCGGCAAAAAGTAAACCCTCCTCGAAAGTAAATCCTAGTGCCTACTTCAGAGCCCAAAAGAAAGTAAGACTGGGTCTTACTTTTGGGGAAACACGGTAGTACTTAACACTGATTTTTGCAGAGGTGGGGATCTGCAGAGGTGAGGATGGGGCTTTGTGTATACTTTTCCAGGCGTGAAGGCTTACTCTGCAGACATTTGCCCTTTAAATATTCTACCTGGTGGAGTGGTTACTCCCCCGTGTTTTGAATCAGTATTTTCCTCTCCTCTCTGCCCTGGTCCAAAAAATAAAGGAAATGTTTGAAGACTACATATAATGTATATGTTTGTATGTATGCACAAATGCACACCCACGATATATAGTGAGATGGTATAACATAACAGAGTTGAGAGTAAATAAGAGTCAGAAGGTTTAAAGTCTTCATTTTCTAATCATGAAGTTATATCTTACCCAAACATACAGAAAACATCACAAATTATTACAGTGCTTTGAATTTAATNTAATAGAAAAATATGGAGATATGATAAAGTAGGCATGGCATCTTATGAAAACACTCAGCTGCAATAAAGTGTTGCAGATAAGATTGTGTCCACATTCCTTTATACTGAAACATATTTTCCAAATCACGGTTAATTAAGTATTTGTGTATGAAAATAAAGTTCTTATATTGGGTGCTATCTAACAAAATGAAATTCAATGATGAAAAATGTAAGATTCTACATTTAGGCAAGAAAAACCAAATGCACAAGTACAGTATAGATGGTACCTTGCTCAATACCATGTTTCCCTGGAAACAAGACCGGGTCTTATTTTTTTCTTTGCCTCCAAAAGAGGCACCAGGTCTTATTTTCAGGGGATGTCTTTTATACTCACTTCCAGCACCGACAGCCCTGCCCAGCCGGTCCACTTTTGCAGCTGAAGGAGCAGCTTCATTCTGCAGCTGCATTCTGGCCTGCAATTTCGCAACCAGGCCTTTCCAGAAGCCCTCTGCAGCCGCTATTCTTGGCCTCAGTGGCCTTCTGGAAAGGCCACTGTAGCCTTTCTTGGCTACAGTGGCCTTCTGGAAAGGCCTGTGACTGAGAAATGCAGGCCTGGCTGCAGAAAACAGAAGTGGGCCAGCGACAAGAGGCCTGGCTGCAAGGTAAGTGGGTGCGGGGCTCATGGGGCAGCTCCATACCCCCACCCCTGCCCTAGCTTGATTTTTGGGTGTGTGCCTCACTCCAAAACTAGGGCTTATTTTGGGGGTAGGGCTTATATTAGGTCCATCCCCAAAAATCAAGCTAGGGCTTACTTTCGGAGAAACATGGTAGTAACTGAGAGGGATCTCAGAGTCCTAGTGGACAATCACTTAAATATGAGCCAGCAATGTGCTGCAGCTGCCAAAAAAGCCTGTCCTGGTTATATTTCTGTATACTCCTCAACATGGTTTGGAAAGTCCACTTCCCCATTATCCAAATTTATCAGTTGTGTTGAACATAAACCTTTCAAAACTCAAAACTAGGTTACTTTGGAGAGTTGAATTTTTTAAAAATCAGGATCCCCTAGTAATGCCAGGAATTTGGTTGGCTGAATTGGTAGTGGAACATGGTTCCTGGGGAAATTTTTTAGCTTATTTTGCATCTCACTGCACTTTGGTGAATGTAGTTAGTTAAACTGACATTCTGGCAATTCTGCCATTATTTCTACAATAGTCCAGTGTTCACCAAAGTTCCCTAATCAGTGCTCATTTCTTATTTTTATACTACCTTATTTCAAGTGTTTCGTATAAAAGTGCAACTTCCTTACACATGCCACTGAAACAAGTACCCAATTTCGCATAATCAATTAAACTGCAATAATATTTTTTGGTTCAATCTGCATATCTGTCTGGAAATTGCTAGGTGGAGTTAAGAAAAAACCTCTCTGTCTCTCACACACACATAGACACAACAAGGACTAGGATGAAAACAAATCTTAATGAGTTTAAACCCCACTGAATTCAACTCTTGAATTCCCTACCAGACAAAATCGAACGGTTTTCCATTGTTTTCGATACCAAAAAAAGCTCCAGAGTTGTTTATGCTCCAACATTTATTGCTCGTTTTTAACATCGTAGCGAGGGTCCTTCCGGTCCCTTTTCTCGTCTCCAGCCCTTAAGGGCGGGTGGGGAGATGGATCGACCTGCTAGCGGGAAAATGTACCAACCTTCGCGGCTGGCTGAATTACTACGAAGGAAACGGTACCGCCACAGTACTTCCGCAGCTGCTCCTGCCTCGAGTCCGGGCCTGACCCGGGAGTGAATCGGTTGAGTGACAGCTCTGGGAGGCGGCGCCCACCCGGCGCCGGGGAAGCGGCAGCCTCGGCAGCTCCGGCGGGCCACTGCACCAGCAGCCGCGGCGGCAAGGATGATCTCCCCGCGGATTCGAGGCGGGGAGGTGGCCCGATTCTACACGGTCACCGAGCCCAAGCGCCATCCTCGGGGATACACGGTGTATAAGGTCACCGCGAGGGTGAGTTGCCTTTGGAGAGGACAGGAAAGCGAGAGAGGGGCTCTCGGCTCCCCGATGGTTTTCAGTGGTCGATCGTCGGGGCTGATTTCCCCCCAGCACTCCCGAAGCTTGTTCTGGGTTTCCGTGAGGCTGCAGGTTAGATCTTGAGTAGCAGGGCGGGGGCAACCCCAGCTGTCTGGACTATGCGCCCGTGAGCCCCGCGCGGCACATCCAGGAAACGCGAGGCTGTTTCTTTCGCCCTAGACATCTACGCGTGTATCGAGGTGGTCCCTCTTCTGGCATCTTTCCCTGGTTCTATTATCCGTAGTCTTTGAAAGCTGGAGCAGCGGGGTTTGGACCTGGGGCTCTTTGCAGTCAGAGCATGTGCTTTATTACTGAGCTAAGATGTTTCACTTCTTTCCCTCAGCAGATTTTTTAGAATCCATCATCCAAGTCTTTACAGCGCGAACGGGGAAATAGCTCTGAATCTCCATCTCTTTCTATAAAAATTTCCCATCACATAAAATGTATTTATTGTTTGTATTCTTAAAACTTCCTCGATTATGAGATTCTGCAATGCCCCTTGATCTCCTATCTCCCTATGATAAAAAATGGAAGAAGCATCATTCATGGCCCACATCTATCCACCCTTCCCTCCTTTGTGGGGGTGGAGAAAGGAGAGGAAAGAATATGTGCAGAAGTGATATTGCTTGTCTTAGGTAAACCACACTGAATATAAGAGGTCTTACTTTTGAGTAAAGCCACGAAGGATTGTCAGAATTGTGAATGACAGGTAAAAAATGTGTTGGGAGAAGAGCAATCAAAATTTGCACTGTATAAGACTAGATTGGATGGAGCAGCTGTCATCATATGTCCAAATAAGATGAAAGAACCAGAGCAACAGCCAGTGTATGCTTGATTTGTGTTTGCAAAGGGCAGCAGAAGGTTATGGATTGTTCTGGGTGTCTACCTTGAAAGACAAAAGGCGATTAAATTGCAAAGCATATGTTCCCTTGAGTTCAGTGCAGGCATTATATTAAGAAAGGAACATTTTGTTCTGTGCACAAATCAAACCAGTCCCATTTATACTTTAAATAGCAGATATTTTTTGGGAAACTCATTCCCAGTCTGGATTTAAAAAACAACCCAAACTCCTATGTTAATCACTACACAGATATTTTGAACACTGGTAGAAACACATTGAACATTACAGGGGATCTTATCTTAGAGAGTAGGTCCTCTTTGAATTTGCAAGCCCTGTCCATAATTAAGAGATATTACCTAAATACTGCATCTTTTAAATATTTTGGACCCTCAGAATAACCTTATTGCTGGAGGAAAGGTCTGTAATTAAAGATCCTTAATGTACTTCTATGTCATACAGCTGCTTAATTTCTCCATCTTTTCTTTAAAAAAGTGCAGACATTCAATAGTAATGACAGAGCAACCGAGAAGTAGCCAAATAACACTGTACCAGGTTAGTTTCTGTTGATGATGAGTGGGAGAGTACTCTCAATACTTTTTATTAATTTGAGATTTCTTCAGGTAAATAAAAGATCATGGTACCAGAAATAGAAAACTATCTTGAATTGTTTTTATTTACTGAGACCTTTGGGGAGAAAACAAATACTTTTTGCTTTGTTGGAAGAAAGATATAAGCATCCTTCTCTGTGATTTTAACTCATGCCATATATCTTCTGAACTGCCCTGAATTTGTTCTATAGAATACTCCTTTGCAGATGTTAGTGGTACTAATAATAGCATTGATATAGCATTGTAGAATGTCCAGAAAGCTTCACATATATTCTTTAAAAGAGTCTTCTCCAAATGTACTGGCCTGCAGCTCTCACTACTTTTTGGTATTAACCATGCTGGCTGAGGACAATGAGAAATGAAGTCCAGATTTTCTCAAGCAGGTTTTTCGATTTTTTTCTACTTGTGAAATCTATTGGTTAAAAAAAAATCTTAATCAAGAGGCAAAGCTTTTCAGGGATAGAAATCTGAAAATAAAATGAAACAGGCGCATAATGTACTTTGTTTACACAAATTTATATACAGTATTAGAGTTATTTAATATTTTTGGGCTTAGTTTTTTGTGGAATCCCATCAAATGCTCATGGAACCTCTGGTTCTGTGGAACCTGATTTGCCCTTGTTTGCATTCTTGCTCTAGTAATGCTAATTGAAAATCTAACTATATTGCTCTGATCTTGTTTGTTACATGGGGGAAAGATGCCTCATAGAAGACTGCTGCTAAGTGGCAAGCTAGAAATCTGCACTAAAATAACTGGGAGGAAAGAGAAAGCAGTGAAAATTTCTACTCCCTCCCCGTGAATGTGTCCAGGGTTACATAGTTGAAAAGATGTGGTGTGGAACCTGGGTATGTCTAAACAACCGATAATATATGCCTTTGAGGTTGAAAATGTTCTCCATTCTTAACCAAAATTGGGTAATTTCAGTATGGAGAAGAACAAATTGCAATACTTTTATCGCCAAGAATTGCAAAGTTGGCTTAACTTGGTGTAATCTTTCTCATGAGTTCTTTGGATGTTACAAAATAATTTGAAGGCATAAAAGGGGAGAAAACAAGAAAACAGGTTAGGTATATATTTATATAGAGATAGTGCAAGTCATGTGTCATAAAACAGTGAAGTGGAACTATTTCGCAGTTGAAAGTTAAATCCTTATAAATATACAGTATGGTAGAAGGCATATAGAATGTACACATACCTTTACCAGTTACAAAGTACAAAGAAAACAGAAAAAAGGATTGAATTCTTTTTTTCGACTTGCAGAATCTAATGCACATTGCATCATGCTCTCTTGGCATTACTTGGTTCCTATGTGATTAACACTTCAAGCTTGCAATGCCTTAGGGAAAAGAGGTCTTACAGGAAAGATGTAACAATATTATCTACACACATACTTCTCACTCTTCAAAGCAGAGCTACTGTAAATAGTGCATTTGATGCTCAACCTTGTGAATTTATAATCATTAATTTAGCATGTATATGAACACTTAATAACTGATTTTAATACTTTTACCCAGAAGGAAATTGAGTTTCCATCAGATGTGTACACCCTGCTAGTTGTCATGTTCAGCAGTAAATGGGAATCATTATTGGTAGAGTCATTCTAATGATATAAATAAAAAAAATCAATAACAAGTAGATATACAAGTTAAATTTTATTATAATAAATAATATACATAAATAAGTATATATATATATATATATATATATATATGTAAGTGTAGTTACCTGTACAAGAAATGCAAGTGTGATTATCCCATTAGATTATAGAAGAACATCAGGATAATTCCAATTTTATTTTTGATTTCTTCCCTAGTAATCTCCAACATGAAATTTTATCTTTTTCAGTGTAGCCACCTAAGTTCCTAATCCACACAAGCTTAAGACTACAGTATTTCTGGTTTCAATCACTACTAGCTGAGATCTCTTAAGTGGCTGTGTGAAGCCAGGATTTTCCCTTCTATGCATCACATTGTGATGATTAAATATGAGAACTGCCATGCCAAGAATGTTAATGAGGGGTGCCTTCTGCGAGTATATATTCTGGAGAGAATGAGAAATGAGAAGAAAGAGATATAGAAGGTTATGGGTGGAAGAATGGGTCTGAGGGAAGCTCAGAGTCCTAGTCCTAGGGTGATTTCCATCTGTCACAGTGACAAGTTTTTAAATATACGTTTAATCCTGGGGAAAACAAGACTTGACAGTCAATAGATTAGTAGTAAAAAAACTATTCCCTGTCTTGTTTAAGTGTTTTTAAAATGGGTATGCTGTTTTACAGCTTCCCCATATTCCACAAAATCACATTATCTCAGAGATGAGAGTTGGGTGAGGGGGTATAAAGTAGTAGAAGTGAAAAAAGTATCCAAATCATAAAGGGTTTGATGAAGGGATTAAATCAATTAATACTTTTAATCTCAGGGTTAATGGGATTACATTTTAGTTTTGAAGCCTCAATGACAGAAAAACTACATGACACTCTTTCTCCCTGCTATTTCAGGCAATATTTACCGTTTTAAAGCTCATTCTGCAAGTTTATAGACTCTTTTAAAATTGATTTAACTAAGTAAAACCAGTTGGTGTTGTTAAAAAAACTGCTAGCTCATTGGTCACCCCGCCTCTTTTTTCAATTTTTAATGAATACTCTGAAATATAATAGTTTCAGTACAAAAATCTGTGTCCTCACCATTTAGATACATCCATTGCAAGAACTGCCCATTTTTATTCTTTGCTTTCTCTTTTTAACCTAGTGCTTCATGAATATTATGTTTATTTTGAAAGGTATTTTGTCAGAAATCTTTTGAAAATCCATGTGTTGATCATCTCTGTCCAAATGCCTATTGATTTTAAAAGGATAATGAAGTAGGATTTATCTTCATAGATCATCTCTTTAGAACATGTAGCTTCTTATGTTCTTCATAACGTAGTTGTCAGTAATGCTTCCTTTCAATTTACTCAGTAAAAATAAAACTAACTGGATCTCTTTTTTAAAACTTGGACTCTGACTGGACAGACCTGGCCAAGGTGTTGATGACTTGGTTTTGTGTATGATTTGGGATGAGTTTGAACTGGTGATTCCTGAGAAAGTGGACAGGTCCTCAGAGCTCAACCACCTGTATGCTGGATCTAGATAATTCTAGATCATGAATGTGACATATGGTTGGGTCCTTGCTGTGGTGTCCAATTCTTTGAAGGAGGGTGTGATGCCTCCTGCCTTAAAACAGGCAGTGGCATGTCTCATCTTCAAGAAACTGTCCTTGGACCAGTGGCTTTAGATAACTATTATCCTTGTCATCAACGTTTCCTTTGGGGGAAGGTTATTTAGAAGGGGATTGGTTTGCAGCTGCAGAAACCCTTGAGGAAATGGATTATCTAAACTTGTTTCAATGGAATATCAGGCTGGGATTTAGCTTGGAGATAGCCTTGGTTACCTGTATAGATGATCTGTGGTGTAGCTTGGATAGATGTGATGCACCGGCTCCAGGGATTGGGAATTAGGGGCATCTTTTTATGGTGGTTCTGGTTGGGAGAGAGAGGTCATTCCCTGAGACACCTCTCTGTGGGGTGCCATGGAACTTGACTGTCTTTTCTGTCCTACTAAACATCTGCATGGAGTTGCTGGTTGACACCATCCACTTATTTGAAGCTCAATATTATCAATACATTTGCTTTATTGGCAACCAACTCCTGGCATTCGAATTCTGATCTATTGCAATTCAAAGACTGTTTTTACATGTACTACCACTAAGCTAAAAAACTTGCATCACCTGTTTGTTTTTAAGATGTTTATATATTGATTTTATCGTCTGCTATAGAATTTTTCCTGGATATCAACACCAGAGTGCCTGAATCCCTCTTTTTCTATCTTTTAAAAAATGGTCAATGTTGCCTGTTCTGTAAAAGTTTGCCTAGTTTTTGAATAGAAATTCAGACAGACCATCAGTGCGCTCTGTCTGGCCATGGAGATCTAACTCATTCAAGGTCAGAAGATAATCCTTATTTGTGTTTGATAGAAACTCAACCTGACATATTGCTCCTTCTGCTATTCACAAACTGTCTGGTGAAAAATATATCCTCTTTTTGGACTAATAGGAGTAGAGTAGTTCATCTTCTTTAATACTTGCAATTCTTTGGTTGCCTTCATTCAGCAGCCAGGTATTATTAGTATGATTTCTTTTAAAATAGCTTCCATCAACAGAAGTTGTCCTTGAAAAATCATCATTCTGTGTATATTTAGAAGTCATACATTAAATTTAAACTCCACTATTTTCAATGTAGACAGAAAAAGAGAAAGAATGAATGGCAAGTTCATTTATTTATTTAAAACATTTATATAGCTACCTATCTTATAACTAACTCTGGGCAGCTCCCAATCAAATATAGAGATTTATATATAAACTATGTGTAGTTTTTATACCAATACAGTATATGGCATTAGTATATGAGGAGCCATCTGACACTCCTCCCTTGTCTGTGGCCCTGCTTTTGCTAATATATGACCTAGATGCCCAGAGTTAATTAACTAAATCCAAAAATACTATGAAATTCCTGGAAGCTTGACACTCAGACAAATCAGCCAACAATAGTTACATAGAAAGAAATCATATTTACACATAATTAAAAAGGGACAATAAAAAAGCAACCAGAACACATCCTGTCTACCAGCCAACATCCTGATAAGCAGAGATTTAATACCAGGCAAACAATCAAGCAGAAATCAATGCCCTAATCAAGGAACTATCAAGGAGGAAACTACATAATCCGCTCCCAAACACTGGTAGGACAAGCTACTGTATTTAAACAGAGAACAAACTCCTGTAAGACTAGTCCAGGGGTAGGCAACCTTGGCTCTTTTATGACTCGTGGACTTCAACTCCCAGAATTCCTGAGCCAGCATGGCTGGCTCAGGAATTCTGGGAGTTGAAGTCCACGAGTCATAAAAGAGCCAAGGTTGCCTACCCCTGGACTAGGAGAAAGATGAAGCAGAAACCAAAGCAGGTGGACGAAAGCCAGGAATCTTGTCTAAAAGATCCCTTTGGGAGGTATTTAAAAAGGAATTAAGTCATGAAGAAAACAAAGGGGGAAAAAGTTTGCCCAGTCTTTGGATCCAGACTTGATGTTTTCCCTAGTTGAAAACAATGTGGGTAAGTGTATATGAGTGTGTATTTGTATATGTGCATGTTTGTCTGAGAAAGAGCAAATGTACATTGTAACCAGTAAAGTTTTGCTGTTGTTTTAAATTCACTGGATCACTTGTGGATTCTAAAGAGGCTGTCATGCCTCAGTGTTTGGTTGAAAGTGATCTGAAGTAATTGTTTAATTGTTTCCTGGTTATTGACCAGGGCTGTCAATGTGTGAGTGAGTGACCATAAATCGGATCTGGGAGTGCATATAACACCCACACTCTCTCACGGTGATGATGTTATCTAATTGGTTAATGAAATATCTGCAAACACACAACTAAACTCTCAGAGCACCAAGGATTTCACAATAAAGCTGGTTTCCCAGTTCAGTCTGTGTTAACAGTCTAATTTCATTTGTTATTTTTTATCCTTTTTAAAGCCTTGAGCACTAAAAAGGCCTTGCTTTTGTTTTTCAGATTGTTTCACGGAAAACTCCAGAAGATGTCCAAGAGGTAATGAAGGCTCTTTTGTTTACATTTTTGTTAGTTTGTCCTTTCATTGACTCTTATCAGGAGATATATAAGTCTCAGCATCTGCATGATAATGTCACCATCCCTCTCCCCATTAGAAAGTCTCAGTAGTTGCCTGCAAGTGATAACTATGCACTGTCAAGTTGAGATATACATTTTTAAATAAATACAGAAATATGATTTGAGAGACTGCAGAGTGTCAGGAATCACACAGATTTTAAATGTGATTCAGCCATTAGAAGATGAGAGGAAAGGAATGCCAAACAGATTTGATAAAGAATGAAGGAAATTTAAGGAAGTTCCTTATTCTAGACCAGGGATCCTTAACCTTGGCAACTTTAAGACTTGTGGACTTCAACTCTCAGCTGGCTGAGGAATTCTGGGAGTTGAAGTCCACAAGTCTTAAAGTTGCCACGGTTGAGGACACCTGTTCTAGACCATACTCTGAGATCATTCAGTCCAGTATTTGTCTTCTCTGGCATTAGACCCTCAGGTAGAGGTTATTCTCATCCTCTGTTTCCTGATCTTTTTAACTGACCAGAAGGCATTGATTTTGGCCCCTTTTAATGCAAATATGCATTCAGTAACTAACACAATGTGCTTATTGCTGAACCGGTATGTGTTCCTAAGAATAAAGTAAGAAGGGGTTGATAGCAAACAAAGCAGAATGCTCAAGGCAATTATGATAATAACTCTGAAAACATTCATAAAAAGAACAGAGTTCTGCAGCCCAGAGCATTTTCTTTGGTTCCATAGCTAAATGTGGTGAAATTGGTGATATGTATTCCTGAGAGCTTTCAGTAGTGGTGGTGGGGGAGGGGAATGAGAGAATGGAGAACTAGAATGTTAATCATATTTCAGATTCTCCCTGAAAGCCCAACAGGTTGACCAGGTATATAGTTCTCTCATCTCTGATGATCATTCTGATCACTGGTCAAATTAAATCTTTTTATGGTCAAAGACCAGCACACTATAGAGATAGTGTTTTGACAGAGAGATTGATTTTGTAAAATACTGGGAAAGTTCAGAAAGTTCTTCTAGGCTTTGGCTCATGAACAAAATGACAGATATTCCTTCTGCAGTTTTATCTGGGTGGAAGAGAGACTTTCATCCTGTTATGTGAATAATGTGCCCAGCAGACAGGTTTCCTGAATTGTCTGGACACATTCTTCAGCAGATGTCACAGAAAAGAGGGAGTCAACCTGTTCTTCAAAGCATGTGAGGGTAAGACAAGAAGTAACAGATGGAAACCTATCAAGGAGAGATCTAACCTAGAACTAAGGAGACATTTCCTGACAGTGAGAACAGTTAATCAGTGAAATGGCTTGCATCCAGAAATTGTGATAGTTCCATCACTAGAGGTTTTTAAGAAGACATTGGGTAGCCATTTCCATGGAATGTTATAGGTCTCCTGCCTGAGCAGGTGGTTGGACTAAAACTTCCAAGGTCCCTTCCTATTCAGTTGGCTTTGTCAGACACAAAGAATCATGACTATATATTAAGTTCCATTTAAGAAGATGAGTTGATTAGCAGACAAGGAATTAGAAATCAAGCAAAGGAAGAATTTGGAGTCCATATAAAAAAAGACAGTCAATAAACTTGGATGGAATATGATGATAGCTGAGCTTTATCCCTTATCATGTTAATTATAAATAAGGCAATCTTATTTTGTTTTTAAATAATATTAAGGGTAAGGAGACCGTTAATTGTGTATGTAGTGTGGAGACTGAAAAAATAAAGTCTCTTTTATACACATATATTGTATATGTAGTTTATTTGGTAGTAGCATGGACATAGCATGTATTGCTTCTTTTAGGATGACTTTTCAACTTCTCATTTTAGACTACAGCCTTGGTATTCCTTATCAAACCTGCTTAGCTTCTAATCTCAGAGAAGGGCAGTCTGTTAAGACAGGATGCAGTAGAGGGCACATTTTTTCCTCCACTGCAGTCTTAGTGAATTTCATTAGCAACCATCCCATCATTCAAAGAGTTTAAAGAACATCTTCTTTACCAATCCCAGTGATAAATTCAGCCCTGATGGTCAGAATCCTCCTCAGAATCAGAGCTTAGAAGGGAAAAATTAAAACTCCATACACTGTGTATAGAAAGAGAAGGAACTGGAAGAAAATCCAACTGAAGGACTGTGCTGCAGATTAGAGTTGGAGGAATCTTGGGAGAAAATTAGACTAAAGACTATATTGGAGATGAGAGTAGGGAAGATGAAGGTGGAAAGAATGTTACAGATTGGAATTGGAGTGGAAAAAGAGAAGCAGGAAAGATTGCTTGGAGTATATGGAAAAATTGTATGGATCTGTGATTGGGTAGGAAATGGAAGGGGGATCTGAGCAGAGGGTGGTTAGGTGGAAGGAGGGAGGAATTTTGAGGAGGCTTATAGTCCACCTCCTAATGAGAGAATGGGATGGTGTATAAGGAAAGTCATATACTCACCCCAGCCAGATGAGAGCTGGAGAGGAGAAATTGACCATGGACCTCTATAAAAGTTACAGGGACCCTACAATATATTCCCCAACTATCTTTCTGCTTTCTTGCTTGCTTATTTACTTACTTATTTATTTAAAGTGCTTTTATGGAATCAGTCCTTCCAAAAATATAATATATAAAATAATGTCAAAAATATATCAATGCCATAACCTTTAACCTCTCAAATTAATGTAACTCAATGTAAGATAATTAGTATAATTTATCTGTATTATATAATGCTACTTCATCTAGATATTTAAAATGATTTGCCTTTTTAGATCTAGTTGGCTCATATTTTCATGTTGAAATTTGATATTGTTTTTAAAAATATATATTCAACAACACTTAAAACAACTTATTGGCTTGTTATTCAGTGGAGGCATTTCATTTAGCTTGGCAAATATGACAGTTGGTTAATATCACCTGATACTGGCAAACAGATAACTTGTAGACTCTGTGTTAAGGCCAAAACTGAAACTTATGAAGTCTTCTGCCTGCTTATTTAGTTTAACTTTTTTTAAAAAAAGTTTCACATTTTCAACTGTAAACAGCACTTCGGTGTTATTATAAAAATATAGCCTAACCAAAAAGCATTAAATTATATATATATAATAGGCATAGATGTTTTTGTTGAGCTTGGCAGGCCTTTCTTCCAGCATTACATTATACTGTATATAACTACGTATAACAAGTTTTGAGGCTAGGAAAATGTTTTATACAGTAGTAAAATACATGATATACAATCATGCTTTTTTAGCATTTTAACATTTCTTGTAGTTGGAAACAACATCAGAGAATTAGAAGACAGGCAGAATTGGCAAGAGAGTTTCTTATTCTTTCTGATCTGTATTTTTATCTGAAAGATTCAGATTAGAGCTGCTCACTTCTAAATCTGTACTAAATAAAATCCTTGAGCACCGATATCTGGAATAATGTTTAATTTTTAAACATTAAATATTAAAAACAGTTCAATACCAATTGGTGGACAATAAGGACACTATGTTAAGATAGAGAAACATTAAAATATGCAAAATGCTTGTAGAAAGATAATGACTAGTTGTGATCTGCTATTCAGAATAAATATTTGTGAAAAGAAATGAAAAGGTTTGAAGAGTGTACTTCTGTCCACTCTGCTATAGGGAAGAGAGACTTAAGTACATCAGGGCAAAAAGTAGGTTGAATGCAGTAAGAACCAGGTACTTAAAAACAGAACATGTAAATAGTAATATGGGTGCTGAATGAATGTGGATTGAATGCACAAGTGAGTGACCAGAATAAAAAAAATACAGAGTTGTTTTGATCACATACAGGTAGTCCTTGTTTAATGGCTATAATTGGAAGAGGCAACTTAGTCATTAAGCTAAGCAGTTATTAAGTGAAACTGTGACTGTGCTTGTGATCTTATTTCAGCTTTCCTTTGCTTTATAGATATGCAAAAGTCATAAATGGGAGGATTGGTTGTAACCAGAGCTTTTTTTCTCATAGAACGCCCAGAACGGAGTTCCGGCACCTTTTTTGGATGGAACCTTGTAGGATAGGCAAGGCGGGTTGTATGACGTGTGTGAGTTCCGGCACCTTTTTTTTTTTTTTTTAGAAAAAAAGCACTGGTTGTAACATTTTTTATCATCACAATAGCTGAGAATGGTTGATAAATAGGATTATCTGAATGGGAAAAAAAAGAATTGAGTGGGGTTAAATTACAAGACAAGTGTAAAAGAAGAGTAATTTAGGCAAGAAGAAGGGGAAGACTGAGAAAGTAAGGGTTTAATGGAGCTGATGAGATGTCCAAGAATAGAGGGATGAGAAATTTAAGGGACAAAATGTAGTGTGTGAAGTGGTGGTAGAACAAGAATGATTTGCAAGGCTAGAAAGGTATGCAGAAGTATAATGAGAGAATGGTGTTGTTGTATACTAATTTTAACCATGATATCTTTCTTTTTCTTATTTCATAACTTTAATTTCTTTGCTTTCCTATTTCCTACTTTTTTCTGCATTCTGTGTTACTTATTCCAAAAGGGAATAGTGGAATGGTTAAATATGCATGTGAATTCATGAAATCTGAATAATTTTATCTTTTTAATAACTTGTGTTTGTGCAATTGTATGCATATAATATGGAGTATATGGGATCTTGGTGCTCCTAACAAGAAAAGGCAACTCTTAAGAAACATTTAAGACTTCCAGGTTGGCACTGGATTTTTACAACAAATAAATCCATTGGAAAAATGTAAAGATAGGTTGCAGAAAAGGGATAGGGTTATGTAAGTAGCTTTACAAAAGAGAGAGACAGAAAGAGGGAGAGAGAGAGAGACTGAGAATAAATATGCGAATACATAAAAGAATCTTTATTTGTAAGAACAGATACACAAAGCCAGTACCTTATTTTGTGATTATCTATTATTTTTTTTAAAAAAAGATGGTCTAGGAGGTAAATAGTTACAACCCTAATTTAGATTACCTTGGTGAATTTAATAATTATTTGAGCCTTCATTGTTGCTTTCCACTTTTGGACAATTGGTAGAAATTTAATGGATGTTTTAATCATATTTTTTTAAAAAAAATATTCATCAAAGAAGCTATAGTCCTCAGTTGTGTAGCACTGAAGACTTACAGTTGCATGCAGATGTTTAGCTACCCTTGGTATGTTTCAGTGAATGCCTAAATAAACAAAAGCTGGCCAACGTCTAACAGGTAGGAAGTTACACAATGTCTTTTTGCAAATATGGATGCATACTTACTGTATAATGGGTGAGTTCCCATTCTTGCTCCCGCTCCCGCCAACCTAGCAGTTCAAAAGCATGCAAATGCAAGTAGATAAATAGGTACCACTTCGGTGGGAAGATAACAGCATTCCATGTGCCTCGACGTATAGTTATGATAGCCACATGATCACAGAAGTGTCTTTGGACAATGCTGGCTCCTTCGGCTAGGAAAACAGTGATGAGCATCGCCCCCTTAAGTCAGACACAACTGGACAGTTTTTTTTTTTTTTTTTTACTATTTCTGTGCAGTTATTCACAGATTTAAAATGGACTGAAACAGAACATTAGAAATATATCTTAGATGACTACACTGAATTTAAATACATTATTAGGGAAAAATTCAATTAGATTTCTCTCCATTAGTTTATGAGCAAAACTGAGTACTAAGTGATTTCCTGGATTAAAATTCTTACCTGATATGTCTTAGTAAATCTGTTCTTCGGGTAGAAAAAGAGGGGGAAGAAAAAAATGATATCACAGCAAAATCTAGATTCACACTGTTAGCTAATATTTTTGGTGACTGTATTGGTTTCTGCTTTTTTATTTTTATAAATGCTTTATTAGAAGGATTAATTGCCTCATGGGTGTGTTTGTTTTCTGTTTTGTTTTATTTTGTTTTGCTTCAGATAGTCGTTTGGAAGAGATACAGTGACTTTAAGAAATTGCACAAAGAACTCTGGCAGATTCATAAGCACTTATTCAGGCATACAGAATTGTTTCCTCCTTTTGCTAAAGCAATAGTATTTGGTAAGCATCTTTTAAAAATCATTAAATAATTTTGGAATACATTTTTGTTCACTGTGAGATAGAATAATTGGATTGCCAAGCAATGGCAAACCACTTCTTAAAAATGTTCCCAAGAAAATTGCAGGGACTTGTCCACATTATTGCCAAGGGTCAAAAATCAGACTGACTTGGCCACAAAGTAATAATGTATCCTATATGTATTACATAGCCATTGTATATCTCATTATAGATTCTAATTACAATTAGAACATCAAGATAACTTATTACTGTATAAGCCTCACTTGTACAGATTCCACTCCTGATTCTGGATCTAATTGTAGGCCAGTGTTAATTTATTCACAGACCATTTTGCTGGCCATGATCAGTTCCAAATTATAATTTGTCTTGTGTTCCTGACATAAACAGAATAAACTGTTGAAAACAAGCAGTTGGGTCAAAGTGAGATGTCTACAGTTATCACTGCTGAAAAAAACTTGACTGCCTCTGAAGATAAGCCTGAAAATTAGCCATCCTCTGAAAAGGACTGCTTGACTAGTTAAATTGACTTGTGAACTGTAATGCCTAAGCAGAGGTTGTATTATTTATTTTGTTCTCCTCCAGCTAATTTTTCCTTGTGTAGCATCTCCATCCACTTTCCCCTTCGTCTTCATTCCCTTCCTGCTGCAGCCACCTTTTCCTTTTGCTCTATCTTTACTCTGTTTTTTTCTTCTTTTTGGCTGTTTCTGTTGGAAAGGGGAAGAAGTGGGTTTGTGTGCCTGTAAAATGTATTTTGTTGTGGGAGTGGTTCTGTGTGAGAATGGCTGGTTACTTCTTTGACATTAATCACCCCAGGAAAATGCAGAATATTTTATTTATTTGCCATACTTATGTACAGTGTTCTTTTCAAATATTTTCTTATAGCTGAATGATAGAAGAAAACATGCCTTTTAATGTTTATGTTGAATTCCTTCAGTACAATTTCTTATAATTCTTCAGAGACGTCCATAAGCTCCAATTATGCTCTTCTGATTAAAATTTATTTTAAAAGGACTTTGATCAGTGAAATTATGAGGCAGTACAGGTAATACTGACTTAACAATCATTTTTGGGACTGGCAACTCTGTCATTCCCCCTGTGGTCAGTAAGTGACTCATTGAACTAATTATAATTAGACATCATATGGCTACAATTTGTGATTTTACTGCTGGCTTCTCTGTTGACTTTGTTGGAAATGGGATATGAAGTACGCAAATGGTGATCATGTGGCCATGGGATGCTACACTGATCACAAATGCTCACTGGTTGCCAAGTGCTCACATTTGCCAAGAGGGTAGGGGTTCCTCTGATTTCCAGTCGGAGGCTGTTCCAAAAGACTTGGGGTGACCACTGATAAGGCACGCCTCTGAAGTCCCATAGGATGGAAACATTTAAGGGAAGGGACCTGGAGTGTATCCAGGAGGTATATCCTCAGGGAGAGGCAGTCTCATGAGTAAATTGTTGGATGTCCCAATAGCATATTTTTATTATTTGGATAGAAGCTTTTTTGTTCTTGAATTTTTTGTCATTTATAGGCATGTTGACATTGAAAAACACCTTAAAATACATGTCTGATATAACTTTGGACAAGGCGTCCTCTTCTGAGATGATCAAGTGCTGTTGTTCTTTCTGATATTGGAAAAATTGAAGAGGGTTCAAATTGTAAACTATTACAGTGCAGTGCTTACAATAGTGCCTAAACAGTGCCTAAACCTGTGAACTCACATGGCCCAGTTTCCCTCTGCCCCCCCCCAGCCAAGCCGCCTGCTCTCGATGCTCCAAAAGCGGAGTGGCGAGAGCAGAGGCTGAATGGCAGAAGTACGCCCTGCTCAGCTTCATTGACTCACTGAGGCTGCATGCACAGGACACCCGATTCACTTTTGGAGTGTCGGGCAGCCTCAGTGAGTCTGAAGGAGTACGAGACCGTGTTCCCAAAGGCTTCTCTTCTTTCTTGCATGAGTGGAACTGCGCAGCCTGGTTCCCCTCTCCCCTCCCCAGCTGAGCCTCCAAGCCGCAAAGATTGGGACCGCTGGTTTAGAACATTCAGTTGGGATTAGGGAGACACTGAATGAAATGTCCATGTATACATGTGTGTGAGCATAGTTTCCATGTTTTTCAAGAGATATTCATGCACACACTACACTGAGCTCCTTGGAAGAAGAGATGGTGGTAAATGTAATGGATAAATGTTGGGTAATAAAAGGAGGAGATTCATGTCTGTCTCTTCATTGTCATCCCATGCCGATATGCTGAGATTGGCTCCATGATTAAATCATTGAAATATGTAATCTTTCTGAAAGAACAACAGTTTTCTCAGTTTATAATGCAATGGTGATTGTCTTCATTCTTGATCCTGATTTTATTCATATCTCTTCTTTTTTAAAAAATGCACACCTTTAAAAAGCAAAATAAAAATAAAAATTCCTTGATAGGATTTGATAGTTATGTATTCTGATGGCAGTGGTGCTGTATAATAATTCTTGGATAAAATAAAAAATGTCTTCATTTGATTTCTAGGGATCGAGTTCTTGTAGTTTTCTTGGCAGTATTATGGAATAGATTTGCCATTACTTTTTCTGGAATGTTTTTCAACTTCAACTTCTGAGTCTCATCTGCCAACTGGAATTCTCAGGCAGCTTCCATTTACCTCACCACGGCTGATTTTGCTTAGCTTCTGTGATCAGCCATAATCTAGTAATGATGCCTTTTGAGGCACTGTTCTTGAGTACACAGCATAATTTATCTACTTCAAGAAGCCATTGTATCATGGATGCAGTGGTAAAGTCAAAACATTTAGGAAGCTGAATATTGAGTAAATGGAAAACATCAAGCAGCTCTAAAACCTGGTTTTCCTGCAACATGTTTAGAAGCCCAAATCATTTGTCAGTAAATCAGAATAGAGCTGGAAGGGACCTTGGAGGTCTTCTAGTCCAACCCCCTGCTCAAGCAGAAGATACTATACCATTTCAGATAGGTGGCTGTCTAGTCTTTTCTTAAAAACCTCCAGTGATGAAGCCCCTACAACTTCTGAAGGCAAGCTGTTCCACTGGTTAATTGTCTTCACTGTTAGGAAGTTTCTCCTTAATTCTAGGTTGTAGTGTCATCTTATTTTACAATTGGTCCAAACCATAGTTAACAATGCCCAAACTGAACTGGTAATCCAATATTGCACATAATAAAAATAGATGTAGTCAAGGTAGTCAAGTCAAGGTTGTAAATTTAAAATATGTATATACTGTCTTTCCTCGGCTTTGTTCAAGGCAATCAACAAAAGTGAATTAAATTGATAAAATAGTAGTAAAACACTAAAGTAGCAAAACAAAAGAGAAATAAATAGAGTGAGTCTTTAAAACAGGGGTCTTCAAACTTGGCCCTTTTTATGACTTGTGGACTTCAACTCTCAGAATTCCTCAGCCAGGCATGCTGGCTGAGGAATTCTGGGAGTTGAAGTCCACAAGTCATAAAAGGGCCAAGTTTGAAGACCCCTGCTTTAAAAGAACAATGTAATGAAGTAGAGTGTGCTAAGCTATAGTGTAGCTGATTTGAGCTTCATAAGATGTGTGAACCCAACCAATTGTGGCTTACATGCCTTAGCTTGATCTCTGTATCAAGTTTGATTAAAAATGATTTTTAGTTTCAAAGCCTTCCTGTGAAAACACACTTTAATAACCAGCAAAATGAGAAGGACGAGAGACAACTTCCTCTGGATGGTGTTTTAGAGTCAGAATTTACAAAGACAGAGTAAAAAACAAACGAACTAAGCGACAGTTACAACAATGTAATTGAACTCTTGCTTCCAGCCTCTTTTTAAATGAACATTGCATTTGCCAGGCTAGCTGATCTTCCCTTTTTAAGGGTCACTATAAGGAGAGAAGGAAATCAACTGCCAGTAGACCAGTGGTTCTCAACCTTTTTAATGCCGCGACCCCAACCGGTCGTAAGTCGAGGACTAAACCGGTCGTAAGTCGAGGACTACCCAACCGGTCATAAGTCGAGAACTTTCCCTGCCCGGGAGCGCCGCGCATGCGTGGTTCTGCCCCCTGCACCGGCCGAGGCGTAGCTGGCAAGCGGCAGAGACGGAGCAGGCCGACCACCAGCTGGCCCAGCCCAAGGGAGGTAAGGCACCCGTCGGAAAAGGGGAAAAAAATGGCAGACAAAAAAAATGGCGGACAAAAAAAAATGGCGGACAGCCTTGCTTGGTGACCCCCGTGAAATGGTCGATCGACCCCAAATGGGGTCCCGACCCACAGGTTGAGAACCACTGCAGTAGACTGATGAAGGCCATTCTGCTTTTCCCTTTCACTTCATTCATTGGATAAAGCAGCTGGATGAATTGGCCTTTATCACTACCCAGCTGAAATGGCATTCTCTCTCTCTCTCTCAAATAGAAATATTGCCAGAAAACATGAGATTTGATCAATCTGTTAAGTGTCTAGTTTAGCAGCCGTTGAAGCACCAAGTAACATTTAAAGGTCCTAAGTCATTTGGGACACAATATATTCTTGCCTTTTTTTTCCTTCTAGTAGCAAGACTGTCGTGTGCGTGGTGTTCAGTGAAGAAAAATTCAAAATCCAAGTCTTTGTTTTTAGTATAAACCAAATAACTGAAGTCTGCAACCGTAAGGGATTAGGATTGACATGGGCACAGTACAGAGTAGATATCTATAATGTGACTAGCTCTATCTCATTTATTTTTTGATATTGATGGTATATATTTAGTGTTTTATTGGCTAATCAATGTGTTCTCATAAAAGGGAGCTTTACATTCCATTAGGGCTACCAAATTATATATGTCATCAATAGACGGTAAAACATTCTGGAACATTTGAGCTCAGATATTTGACCCTGTCTCCTGAAGCAGTTGTGTGACTTCATAGATGCAAAGCTTTTTTTTTTTTTTTTCTCATAAAGGATTGTCAGAAAAAAATGATTTGTTTCTCATAATGTTAATTTTGTTCATGTTTCAGGGCGATTTGAAGAAGGTGTGATTGAAGAGAGAAGACAGTGCGCAGAAGATTTGCTTCAGTTTTCTGCCAACATCCCCATGCTCTATAATAGCAAGCAGCTTGAAGATTTCTTTAAGGTTAATCTTTCTCAGCTAGCCCATCTAATAAATTATTTCATTTCACTGTGTGAGTGAAATACTTGTTCATAGTACTGTTGCTCTGTAAAAATCAGTACAAATGCAGTTTACCATAAATCACAGGAAAACAAGCAATTTCTGTGTATTATTACATTTGCTCAAGGGCAGCTGTCCATAGCAATTTCCCATCTACACAGTGAAGTTGCAAATGATAAGATCTTAGGATTGGTCTAAGGTTGAAACAGATTCTCTATAGTATGCCAATCAATTAATCAATCAATCAATCCAATCAATCAATAGCGTGTGTGTGTAAAATCTTCATTCTCTCATACCCCCATCTGCAACCACTTACTTAGGCTAAATTAGTAGTTACTATTGCAAATAATTCTCTATATGATATAAAACAAAAAGGTACTTTATTAGACTGAAGAGCACCCAGAGAATTTTGGATTGGGACAGTATACAAATGTTGTGAAACAAATGAATAAAGTACCATATAGATTATATTAGATAGACAAACAGCTTCTGCTTTGCTACTTTTTTCTGCCTTAAATACGCTATTGGTACACATTGGAAGGAAAGAGAGTGTCTTAGATTAGTAGATTAGTAACTGCACATTGCTGATATTCTATTAAGCGGTCTCTTCAGCAAACGAAAATGATGTGAGTGTGGCAATGCACATGCAATAAAGTGATTAAATCACGATAATGTGAAAATGTAAATTGTGTCTTTCTGTAACATTAAGCACATGTCATTTGTTCCTCCTTGATCTTCCCTCTAGACACCCAAACTTCTAAATAATAGGCATATACTGCTGCAAATATCCAGGCATCACTAAGATGGCAGCAAAGCATAAAAGTATTCTGTACCTCTTTGCTATTATTTATAGCCATGCAGATTTTTGCAGCCCAGATCTGATCCATTTGGCGTTGGCTAACTTCACACTGTGAAGTGTGGTGAGGGAAGCTTGTTTATATCTAGTATTTCTTCCGTGAGGTCTTAGGGAGCTAAGCTTTGCCTAGGCACTAAACAGATCCAGAGTTGCATAAGCTCAGCTGTATCATATACATTCCAATTGTGTTGGGAAGCCAAAATACAGTATGTTTTCTATGAACCTGACTGAGAAACCACAGCCTTTGTGTGACTGGTAAACATTATGTTTATGGCAGGTTTACAGTTGGGTTAATTATGATTTATAATTTATAATTATGGTGTAACAATTAAATTGGTACAACAAGAATAAGGCTGCTAAGCTGATATAAAAACCAGCAGAGATGTTTTCTAGAGGGGAGCCATTTTAGTTTGAGAGGTATCAAACTAAAACATAGTGAAAGTTAATTTAAGATAAGATAGCTTTCTTTTGTTTCTAGCAGCTGGGGCAGGGGATATGGTGGGTTATGAACTATTTGATATATCCATGCAGATTGTTTAGTGAGGAAATTCTAACCCTCTTTGAGGAATTTTGTGTATAGCTAGAATGTCTCTCGGGTTTAAAAATCTGTTTTATCCTAAAAGCTAATATTGCTGTTTTAAAATAATATCTTCTTGAAAACAGATGACAGTGTTCAATATCATTTTTCTAGGACGGGAATATATGTCAGCTGGAACACATTGTGAATCAGTTAATTTGATTTAGGAATACTTTTGATATGTATTGACTATTCTTTCTTTCAATGTATACTTAGACTGAATCTGGAAAGAATATAAAACTAATCTCAACAGTGCTTGTTTCTGGCCAAGTTGTGGAACAGTGTTTTAGATAATATTGCTATTTTTCGTGTAACTTTTTCCCCCTGGGTGAAAGTTACATTGATCCATAGGGAAAAATAGCTGTATATATATATATATTGTTTTCTGTCTGTTTTAAGGATGGAGAGGTGCATGATGGATCTGAATTGATTGGTCCTGCAGAACCTCTGGTGGACTCTCTGATAGACAGCTTATCTACCTGCAGTTTTGAAGGTTGGCTCTCTTTTCTTACTTTTGGTAATCTAGCTCCAGGTTTTTTAAAACTGTAGTTTCTTGAAAAACACACACATAGTAATCTTATTTTTGGGAAAGGCAGTTGAGGAATTTTATATGGCATCTTTTGGGCACTTGATCTCCTTGATGTGCTGAGATTGAAACAATCCTGATTTAGTATAGTATGCAATTGTTTTCTTGGCTTTTGAGTGGCATGCTAGACACCTATTTCTCCAAAATAGGATTAAATCTAAATTGGAATTTTAACTATTTTGATATATTGTTTCTTTACTTGTTTCCCCAAGTGACCCAGTAGACAGAAAGAAGGGATCTGTAAGAAGAAAACAATAAAATATGTCAATACTTTTCAGTCATGCCTTAACATTTCCTGTCTTTCTGTCACATTCAAATTAGATTTGGTAACAACTTCTTATGGCCTCTTAATCTTCATCTCCTCTAGATGGCAGCATTATATTTAAATTCTAATTTTCTCGATTGTGCAAGTGATAAATTTTTCCTGGTTTGGTTTTCTCTGTTATGCAGAAACCATGATGAAATAATACCTATTGTAGCAATAACTGTTCAGATAATTTTTAATCTCATGTTCTGTAAACTATGAAATCCTTTTTATAATCAGCTTTTTGGTGTATTTCTAGATCATCCAATAGCCAGTGCTCTTTAGGGGGATTCACCAAATGAGGTTTCAGGTGTAAATTCACAAATGTGGTAGAACACAATATAAAATCTTAAAAGAAATAGAGACCAAATGAAAACAAGAACACCAGGGGAAAATACAGGTCAGTTATGTAAACGCTTATGGAGTTGTGGTGCATCTTCAGTATAGGCTGTTGGTCAGGTTAGTTGGAGATCCTACATATCTGAAGGGTGAATGATTGAGAGAAGCTGATTTAGGCTTTTAAAATAAAACCGGTTTATATTTTTCTAGATCGCATTTACCCAACAAGATGCCCTTCCCCCAACATTTTTTTAGAATTTCCAGCTGCAGTAAGTCTGTCCTATTTCAAACCTATGTGTAATTAACATTGGCCTTCATTTTTGTTTCTACAGTTCGGAAGGATATTGGTGTCCTTGATGAAGTGACACTTAGCCAGACAGAATATGGAGGTAAGAAAGAATGGAGTAAATTGAGCAGTTTAGGTTAATTGTTTATTTAATTTAAAAAAAGAGGTCACCCATAATGCACCGGCCCTTTAGGGTGGACTCCACTTGCAGCATACAGTTTTGAACGTTACTAGATTCCAAGCTCAATAGGGCTTTTTGAGGAGCATCAACACAATGGATTGTATTTGGATCTTATTGGTAATCAAGGCAGCTCCTGCAGTAATGGTATCACATGGAGAACAAGGCAGAACCCATCGACATACAGGCTAATAATTTCTGAATAGTCCTCAAGGCCAGCCCCATGCAAAGCAAACTGTAGCAACATAGATGAGAGTTACAAGGGCATGAATGGCCATGAATAATTGATCCTGATTTGTTGCAGTTTCAGAGAGATAGTGAGCAAGCTGCTATAACCTGAGACATTTTATCTGCAAAACATTGGCCTTTCTGTTAAACTATTGCTCATCTCTTCCAGCTTAAGATCACCAAATGCATTTTTGGCAGAAGTAAGACTTGAACTGGAGGATTACCAGATTTTTGACTTCAGCCTCAAGCTGTGCCACTTCACTGGTTCTTTTAATCTGAGTTTTGTGTGATGCTCATCTGGTTTGCACTTTCAGTATGAGAATTTTTGGAATGCTCTAATATTACACCAGTTCTACTCTATAGCAATAAAATAAGTTGTCCACTGAATGTGAATTGATATACAGATCAGCATCTTATTCAAATCCTCAATGACATTTTGACTGTATTCCATTGATTTATTTACAAATGAGCTCTAAATAGCTCTAAACAGGAATGAAAATTATAAATCTCCAAGCAATGGGGACTATTTTAATGTTATTCACCTGCTTGCTACATTTTATCTATTTGCTAAAAGAAAGATGAGTTATTAAATGTCATTATGTACTTTGAGAAAATTATGTTACTCAATAACCTAGGAGCCAAATCTCTTGGAGAAACACTGAAGAAGAAGAAATATGAGTATGGGTTGGTTCAGCACTCTGAAATATTATCAAAACAACCTGGACAGCTAATATAGATAGATAAAGTATACAGTATTTCTACTAACTGTACTTTAATTGTTCAGAAAGAAATTGTAATAAAACAAATCTAGCACTCCTTTATGAGGAAATTTACACTGAGACTTGTCCCAAAGGTGCTGTTCAAAAGGCAATTGGACTTTCTTGGTTTATTTTCTCTTGATTATGTTTCATTTCTCATCCAAGAAGCTTCTTCAATTCAAGGGACCCCCCCCCCCAAGAAAGTCCAGTTGCCTTTTGAACAGCGCCTTTGGGACAACCATGACCTGGGTGATTGAGGATCTTCATAGACATTTACACTGAGACTTATTAGATTAGATTAAAAAAGGATTCATCAGCAAGTGTATGCTCTGCAAAATATAAACAATAATGGAAATGGATAAAGAAGATTGTATTCCTTTCCCATTGAATTGGAACTTGGATTTAATCCAATAAATCCAATGTTAGGAGATTTGGGACAGATAAAAAGAAGCATTTCCTCACATGAACTATAGAAGTTGCATCCCAAGTTTTTTTTTGATCATAATCACTGACCTAGAATGATTTGGAAGGAAATTAAATAAATCCTAACAGGAAAAATTGTGGCTGATTAAAAGACATGCTGCCTGTATATTACCTCTACCTCTGGAGCCATACGTTTCTCAAAATTAATTGCTGGGCAGCTTGAGTGACGGTCTCCAATGGGCTGTTCTTGAGCCATAGTATGAATTAAAAATTCAACTAGATTGACTTTTAGTTTAACCTGGCAGAATACTTTGTTTTTTACTCACCAGTGGAATAGGTTTTACAAAAACAAGTTATAAATTGTATGATCTTCCATCAACATTCTTCATCATCATTAGCGTTTATGATACACCTTACTGAGGGCTCAAAGTACATCACATCTATTATCCTAATCACCACATAAAAGAAAGACCACTCTCTTTTTTACAGGCAGTGATCTAAAATAGTTAATACCTTTCATGGATACTTCTTTTACTTATCTTCTAAATCAGGCATGTCAAACTGCCGGCCGGTGGGCCGGATGCATCATGACAAAACTGCACCCACCCCATTGCAGGCAATGGGGAAAAAGTTGCGATATGTCGCACGACATCACGTAATGTCGTGAGTTTGACGTGCCGGTTCTAAATCGAGACTTTCTAGAGGATAAATGTTCTCCATTCTTTTGTTTCCCTACAGGTTTATCCAGTGACAGTGACTTGATTTCCTTGACCATTGATGCAGATTCTCTTGTTGAGTTAGATGATGGAATGGCATCTAACCAGGATTCCCCCAGCACATCGCTTGGTCTCAGCTCTGCTTCTGAACATCCAGTATTGTCATCTGCCATTTTAGATCAGGAATGGATCAAATCTGAGAATGAGAGGGAGAGCCGGGGTTTATTCACTGGGAGCTTGAAGGCCAAGCTTGGCAGAAGAGATTACTTGGACAAAGCTGGAGAACTGATAAAGCTGGCCTTGAAGAAGGAGGAAGAGGAAGATTATGAAGCTGCATTTGGCTTTTACAGAAAAGGAGTTGATCTGCTTTTAGAAGGAGTTCAAGGTATGATCTCATTTATTTTAACACTTATTTTAGTTTGCTTAAGCCTTTATCCTCTATGCAGCAAGTTTGAATTGTAATTAAATAATGGGATATTAAAGGAAATAGAAAACCAATCCTGGGCCACATTACATTTCTTTCTTTATTGAAATAGAAAAGCTTATAAAGAACAGAAATGGTACTTATAGGCTTACAGTCTAGAAGTCAGCATGCAAAAGGAAAAGAGAAAGCAAGTAAGGCATTAAAAGGAGGTTTCTTAGTTACAAAATTTAGCAGGTTGAAGATCAGAATGCAATAGAAGGACTTCTCCCTCTGATAAGTTTGGCAGTACCAGCTGATAGGGGGAAAAGGTGGTCTCTACTTAGGGTGAAATAATCCCTGATTGCTGTTTGCTCTCTGATCTATTCCTCTGAGGCAGGTTTAGTAGATGAGGCTTCTGATAGAATTAAGTTTTTTTCCAAATCAGTCCAGTGGCTTTTGCTAGCAGCGAGGAACTTCTGACCAACAAGTTTAATTACCATAACTTCAATAGGTAAAATTCTAGCTCTATATCTGTTTTTGACATACAGTATCTTAAAAACTCTTGCTCACATATGATTCAGCAGGAACTTTATTTTCTCCCCAAGGTTGCATTTGGGAATTACAATGAGAGTTTCAAAGTTTTTATTTCCAATTTTATTTAACCACAACTTAGCAATAGTTCGGAGCCTATAGTATTGTTTCTTTTTGGTTTGTAGAAAAAAAACCCCCACCTTATAAATCATAAGTTGAAGTTACTTTATTTCATATAATGATTATTTCACATGATTAAGAACAAATCTCCAGTATGAATAATCAGAAAGAGAAGTAAAGCTTAAGATGAGAAGTGCACAACCTCTCTAGAGGGAAGCTACATCATTCCCAGCATATAAAGCAAGATTTATTATGACACAATGTAAAGAACCCTTTCTTGAAGTTCTAATCTGAGCCCACAGGGGGGTGCTCAAGGCAAAGTCTTCTATTTTTCTCTAGGGGATAAGAGAATCCGTTCCACTGAATATGAATTGATAACTGAAAGGTAATATTTTTGGGCGTCTCAAGTTTCTCAGCAAACTAATTGTGCAAAAATAGTTCCCATCCACCAGCAGAAAGAGAGCGGAAGATCTATCCAACTACTTTAAGTTATGAACCAGTATAATAAAAGTTATAGAAGATGCTTTAATGCTTTCTTTAAAGGCTAGTAAGGTAAACATCATAGAAACACCTGAGGGCATATTGTTCCAGAGGACAGATTTGTATTTGCTCATATTCTGGAAGTCTATAGTAACGGTATATTCAATTTGCTGATACTACCTAGGAAAATACTACGCTATACTAATAGTCATCCTCTTACTTGTTTGCCCTGTGTGATTGTAGGGCCTGCTTTTTAAAGGCTGTACTCACCTAATTTTTGCGGTGAAGTTATTAATCCATGATATAATGAGAGGGTTAGTTTATCAGTTGCTTATTGCAGAGCTTGGCATTGATTTAAACTGCGAGGAAATGGCTGGACCAAGGTCAACTTGATTCTATAGCTTGCTTCCATGCCTAAGGGGCAGTGCTTTTTTTCTATATAAAAAAAAAAGGTGTCGGAACTCACACACGTCATATAATCCGCCTTGCCTACCCTACAAGGTTCCATCCAAAAAAGGTGCCGGAACTCCGTTCTGGGCGTTCTATGAGAAAAAAAGCCCTGCGAAGGGTGTACTAGAACTTGAATCTTTCCAGGCCTACTCCAGTATCTAATCCATTCTAGCTTTTGTATCATTATGTAGCAGTGTCCCAAAAGTGCCTTTTCAAGAGGCAATTGGACTTTCTTGTTTTTCTTTGAAGACATTTCACTTCTCATCCAAAAAGCTTCTTCAGCTCCGACTGAATGGTGAAGAATGGAAGGATTTATATTCCTTGCAGACAGCTGGTCATTTGCATTCTTTTAGAGAGTTGTTGAGGCCACTTGGAGGTTTGTCTGTGTCCTCAGGGTCACCTGAGTAGTACAAATGGGTGTGGAGCCTTTTTGGAACTGCTGAAAGGACTGTGTTGTGGAACTGCTTTCTGCAGGATGTTTTCTGCTTGTGTACCTTCACTATTGAACACAGGTGCAGGCTGTTGGGGATAAGTCTGTGTTGTCTGCATCTCATACTGAAGTGCAAATGGTTTCTGGAAATCTATTCATACTCCTGCATAGCTAAATGGAGATTCTCAGTCATCCAGGTCATGGTTGTCTCAAAGGTGCTTTTTCAAGAGGCAACTGGACTTTCTTGTTTTTCTTTGAAGACATTTCGCTTCTCATCCAAGAAGTTTCTTCAGCTTTGACTGGATAATGAGAATCTCCATAGACCTTATGTAGCAATATAATTACAATTAATAATGCTGCCTTAATAATAATGAGAGCTAACATAGTGTGTTAGTTATAGTGTGTATCTGGATTGGAGATTCCCTGTTCAAGTCCACTGTCAGCTGAGAAATCTCACTGAGTGACTTTGCGTCAGTAATTCTCTTATTCCAACTTTTTCCCAGAGTTGTACTAAAAGTTGGAAGAAAGGCTGAGACTTCAAATGACTTTCTTCATTCTTGTTGCCTTTTGTTGTGAGAAAACTACCTTCTGATACCTCTGTCCTGCATCTTTTTTAAACTCCCCAGTCTCTCTCTTTAAATTCTAGCGATGATGCTATTTTACAGTTCAGCCTAATTTGGGAATCACAAGCATTACATAGAATTGTGTGCTGATGTCTTTTTTTAAAAAAAATAGGGTGTTATTTTCTACTAAAGACACAAATACAAATACAAGCTATTGCCACATGGTGGCATCAAGCATGTAGATTAGGTATATCACAAACTTTATCCGATATCTAGTGAGCATAAGATACTCCCTATTCTCCCTCTCCTTGTTTTTTTACAATTTGTCATATTTTAACAAGTCATGTTGTTTCACTTTGCTGGGTATAGTCTACACTAACTAGAAATTGAATCTTGTCTTTGGTGTTGGTGGTGTCCAAAGTATGGGTCCCTACTAATAAGCTACGGTTTTTCTTCTTCATAGACATTTATTTTGGACTGTGTGTGTTGAACTTGCTTTCAGATATTGAAACATTTTTTATATAAAAGAAAAAACTGCTCTCCAATGCCAGTCTGCTTTGGGACACTTGAATTGCAGTTGCTTCCAGAGCAAAGTACTCTATAATCATTTGTGTCTTCCTGAAGATAACATTAGTTAACAGTCTCCTTTTCTAAAACAACATTTTTGATATTCTTTAATTCCCATTCAAGATAGTGGAAGTGGTTTTCAGACTTTTTATCTTCAGACGATCTTCCTTGTAGGAATTTATATACCAAGAAGCTCTGATCCGTTAAGGAAGATTTCTCCAAGCTGACACCCTTCAGATATATTAAGACTGCAGGTCCCACATTCCTCATCAGCTTTGCCAATAATTAAATATCGTGTTTCCCTGAAAATAAGGCCCGGTCTTATATTTTTTTGGCTCCATAAGACGCATTAGGCCTTATTTTCGGGGAAATATGGTATCAGGGTGATCAGCCAGGCCGGACACACCACCCCCAGCACGCGCAAAGAGACGGCAAGCACGTGGGGAGCGATGATGTCTGGCAGCAGCCACAACCCGCTGGCCCCTTGGCTGGCACATTCTGGGGCTGTGCAGCCTGTGCAGCGCAGGTGAATTGATTACCTGTCCAAGTAGCAGGCGGAGGCAGAGGCGCGGGTGGGGGGAAGCAGGTGAGTGAAGGAGACGTTAACTCAATGGGAGGCAAGGGCTAGCACTGAAAAATGTTTCTGGGTCCTTGGTTCTCTCACCTCCTGAAAAGGAGAGATTATTAGTAGCTTTCTTGTGAGGAATTTCTTGGATATTTGTGGCAGCCAAATGTAAACACAAGTGTCTTTATTATTCAAAATTCAGGGGAGAAATATGTCCTGACCACTCCTTTCTTTAAAGACTGCTTTGTATAGAGTTTCTGGTAAAAATATCAGATTTATTTGGGAGTATTGTGTGAGTAAAATCAGTCAGTGATTGAAATTAACAGAGATTTTGAAGTCCATATATTGTATTTTGTAATACAATTTTATTTAAAAAAGAAAAAAGCAAGAAAGGATACAGGTAATATTTTCATGAAGGAGAATGATTTGATGAAACGAAACAATGCACATCTGTGGCCAGAGTAAATGTGCTGCATGCACATTTATTAAAGGAGGCCAGCTGTGATCAGCATTTCCTCATCACGTAACAACACTGCCCGTTGATAGACTCCTGTATTTTTATTTTCCTCTCTTTGTATAAAACATTTTTTCAATAACGTTTTGCGCCTAGTCCAACAAGAGAAACAGAAAAGCAAAGAAATACGGTATTTCCTTGAGTTGTAACCTTTCAACAAGGCCTGTGCTCTACCAGGAAATGATGGTTATGAAGCTAGCTAGTTGAAGATTGCCAGAACTGTCTCTCAGGACCCAAGAAATTTACTCTGAGTTATTTGAAAACCATAACTATGTTTTGTAGATGTTGCTTGCTCTCCCTTGTCACTTTTTCACTTAGAAGCATTTCCAAGAAAAGTGATTGGTCTGTCACTTCAGGGTGAAATGCATCATATATTTTAAGTTTTGGTTGGAGACTGAGAAGCTGCTTTCTGAATCCTAACCTCTTTACCCAAATTCTTCTCATTAGGGATGCTCTAGAAAAAAGGAGCTACATGTATCAGTAAAATAAGTAAGAAGTAGGATCAGTCTGATTAATTTCTTTTTATTTTGTCATGACAATAATTCTGTTCTGTTCCTTTAATATATCAGATGTGTCCTAATTTTAAATCATAGGATGTGTGTGTGTGTGTGTGTGTGTGTGTATGAAGAGAAGGACTAGGGATGACATGATAGCAGTTTTCCAATAATTGAGGGGCTGTCACAGAGAGGAATGGGTCAGCCGATTCTCCAAAGCACTTGAGGGCAACCCAAGAAGTCACTGATGGAAGCTTAACAAAGAGAA